GACTTAATCACAAGTATTAACAAGTATTTGACTGTCAAATTTTTGTTTGATTGTGTCGAGCATTAGATAATGCCGAAGTAGAATACAATGATAATTCTCCAGTAGAATGTAATGATAACTCTGCAGAAGAATATGTTAAAAACTTCACGGAATCCGTTGTTGACCAAAATTTTTATGCAGAATCAACACAAGAAAGTACAGAATTATCAGATACTATTCATAAAGATACCATTAATATTAATGTTAGAGACACTTTTTATTCTTGAAAAATTGCAGAAACTCATCTTAATCAATATGCAAGGTCTGCTAGATTTTGTATATATCGTAAACGAGTTGAGGTTGATAATGATGGAGTTGTTCATCGATGAACATTTGAGTGTAGTTTTTCAAGAGAGTCAATTCCCAATCAAGTAATTGATTCAACACAACAACGTCAATGGCCATCTAGAAAAATTAGGTGCTCATGGCATATAAACTTAACAATGCCTAAAGCTTTTTCAGAAGTAGGAATTACAAGTATCATTGGGCAGCATAATCATTCTATGGTATCTGATTTGGCTTTGTATGCACCCAAATACCGCAGACTATCAAATGAAATAATAGAACAAATTAAGTTTTATGTCACCAAGGGGAATAGGGATCAAAACAAATATATCTCTTGCTATCTGCAAGTTTCTCAAATCAAATAATATACAAGCGAGACCTTTATAATGCGATTCAGAAATTTAAGGCCCCTTTTGTCAAATGTCAAGGAGATGCTCAGCATATGGTTAATAAGTTGATTGATTTGCAAAAAAAAAAAGCAGGCTGGGTAATTAAAACAAGGCTTGACCCATTCGATAATTGACTTGCAGGGTTGTTTTGAGTATCTCCTGCTTAACAACAATATCTAATATGATATAATGATGTTGTGCAAATAGATAATACATGTCGAACTAACTGGTTCAACATGTATTTAACTTTTCTGGTTATAGTTAATAATAATACTAAAACCCAACTTACTGCTTAATGCTTATCAGATGACGAAACAACTGAAAGTTACGAGTGGTTTCTCAATTGTGTCCTTGAAGTAACAAATAATGTTTCCCCTACTTGTCTATTTTCTGATTCAGAACCTGCTTTAATAAACACTATTGTATTAAAAATGCTTACTACACACCACTTTCTTTGCATTTTTCATATACAAGAAAATTTACGTAAGAATTTGTGATATAAATTGGATAAACATTATAAAGCATTTTATAAAGAATTTTTGTATGTCAGAAATAGTCTATTTGAAAACGATTTTCACCATCACTGGACCCGTTTATTGGAAAATTATCCTCAAGCTAAAGATTATCTTAATCATACCTTAAAACATTGTTATAAAGCGTGGGCAAAATGTTATCAAGTCAAATACTTCATAGCTGGAATTCAAAGTATGCAAAGGGTTGAAATGATGAATAGAATAATAAAAAATGGTGTTAGTAGCTCATCTTCATTATGTAATTTACACGACACAATATAAAGATTGTTGGATTATGAAGCTAAATAGGCTCGATATAATTTGTATCTTTAATGTCTTCTGATCAATCAAGCACCTTCTATTATTGAATCTGTATTTCTAGAGGTAATCGAGTTACTTAAAGAATATTTAACTCCTTATATTCTATCTGTTCAACGCCAACAAATACTTGGGTTTTTATTATATCATGCAATGTTAATTCCTAGAGAGACAATTCATGCTATACAAGAAGTACATTATAATGATAGTAATTATTAATTTTTAAAGAAATAAAATGCTTATGAATTTCTTTTTAAGATCCTAGTCAGCTTGACTGTGATATTGGTTTTCTCAAAGATTACCTTGATAGACTACAAACAACACTTTATTATCTTATAGATGGAATACAGTTAACTAATATTTTGAAGATATAGGAACTTTCTAGACTTACAGTCGCATATAAACATTATATTATTTTACTTATTAATGGAGGGCATTTATGTACTTGTTTAGCTATTATTAACTGTGGACTTGTATGTACATATTTTTTTAGTGTTATGATGTGAATTCAAAAATGTCTAAATTCAATATTGGACTTATAGCTAAACAATGGTATAAAGAAAGCATATATGATCAAGATGCTCAATTTATTTTGCAAAAAAAGACCATTGGAATAACTACATTATTTCAGAATGCTAATACTAATCACGTAGTAGTTCCTGATTTGTACATACTTGACAAATTTAGAGCACCACACACCTTCATAGCCAAAATTAGGCAACATGCACAAAAGAAAGTCAAATATGTATCTGGGTCCGAAAAGGCAAAGAGAGTGCTTAATTTAGCACTTGATATGGGTTGTGAAGATGAATTTATAAATATAATTGATAACTTTA